GTAGACGACAGATGGTGACGTGGAAAATTCAAGTAACATATATGTTTTGTTCCATAAGAATGAGGGATTATGAAGGGTTCAAAGTAATGCCTGTTTTTATATAAGAATTTGAGACATTCATATACAGTATGATGCAAATGTATGGAATAAATTCATTATTTCAGAAATGGGCGACATTTGAAGAAATTCCAAAAACACGTGAGTTTCAATTTTTGAAACCTCATCATATGAGAGATGTTACGTCACCGGTGTTGGAGTAATGACGTAATGGACGGTTTTTTTAAATACAAACAGGGGTCATGTGACACCTCGTTTGAAAGGTCTACTGATCGTCTATCCAATAGTCAAAATTCTGCAAAAGAAGATTGAAATTAAAATGGATTATCATTTGGTTAACCGAATCTTGCAGAGATCTTCTACTGAGAATTGAACATCGAAGGGTCGTCTAGTTGAAAAAATACATCGATAAAAAAGTTCTGAACTCTACTTTTCGTATTTTTTTCGGAAGTCGTCTTGTTTTGAAATGAATTTATTCCATTCATTTGCATCATACTGTATATACAGTGCTGGTAAAGTTAGTAGTTCAACTTTTCTGAAGTAACCCCTGCATGAATCATGGTATTTCAGATTATTATGCGAATTGCCCTTTTTTGAATTTTGAAAATCCTCTCAGCCTCCCCACTACTTCCCCATAGTATAATACCATAGCGAGCGCGAGAATAAAAATTGGCAAAATAAAAGGTTTTTGTTATATTGAAATTAGAGTTCTTTATGAGAATTCTTATGCCATAGCAAGCCTGGCTCAATTTTTTTGAAATGTTATCAATATGATTTTCGAAGTTTAGTGTTTCATCAATGATTATTCCTAATGATTAAGTGTATTCTACAAATGGTATTTTTCGATGATTGATTAGGATATGAGTAGGAGTTTCAAGCCTATGATTGATTTTGAAAAACACTGCATTCGTTTTTCAGGGTTTAGTACTAATCTAGAATTAATGAACCAGTTTTCAACTGCAATCATAGTCTCACTGGCAATTTTTATGAGATCAGGAGATGTATCTCCGGTGAATAGGATTGTGCTATCGTCTGCAAAGTTGATTATTGTGTTGTTCTGCTCTGCAAGTGTGGCAAAGTCATTGATAAAAATTATAAATATGAGTGGTATGAGGTGATATACTTATATCAGGAGAAGTTGTTAGACAATCGATTGAGATTTTGAGAATAATATTATATTCAGGGTGGCACATTTGGAATATCACAAATGCCATTTACTATAAACAAAGGCAACACCGCATTATTGAAAAACTCAGTTGAATAAAAAATTACCAAATATGCTCATCATCAAATTATCGAAGTGATTTTGCTTATGTATCCTTCATGCACAATGAATCAGTTTCTAGTGATTTTTACATCCCAGACATACAAAATAACGAATATAGATCAATTCCGGAAATATACTAGAAAATGCCATAACAATGATAATAATACTATGCATTGAAATGATGCGATCATCTCCACAAGCGAAATGACAAGCTGTATCCCGAAATGTTCTCATTCTGGCCTCTGATGTTATGAAAACATTCATTCCAAAACTGTAAAAGTAACGAACAGGAGACATAAAAGACATGAAACATGAAAAAGCAATTTCTCGAATTTCTATCTTGAACTTGCGACAACCCTGACGATAAAATTATAGCAACTTTAATGGAAGGACGTGTAATATAATAACTCAGAGATGCAGTGTCGCTGTGGGGGTAATGAACTCTTGATGAAAAATGAGATGGAAAGAGATTGAGACGAAACGCATATTTGACATCTCCATGTCAAGAATATTCTTATGATTCTATCATTCATACATAATAATCGATGGCATCTCTATATCTCTATCAATGATATTCAGTATCCAATGACCTGAAGTGTATTTATACTTCTGAAATTTCTATAAAGTAATCAATGAGAGTGAAACATATAAGTAATATAATAACTCAGAGATGCTGTGTCGCTGTGGGGGTAATGAACTCTTAATGAAAAATAAGATGGAAGGAGATTGAGATGAAACGCAAATTTGACATCTCCATCTCAAGAATATTCCTATGATTCTATCATCCATACATAATGATCGATGCCATCCCTATATTTCTATCAATGATATTCAGTATCTAATGACCTGTAGTGTATGTACTTCTGAAATTTCAATAGTCACCAATGAGAGTGAAGCGTATAATATAAGTAATATAATATCTAAAAGATGCAGTGTCGCTGTGGGGGTAATGAACTCTTGATGAAAAATAAGATGGAAGAAGATTGAGACGAAATGCAAATTTGACATCTACATCTCCATCTCTATCAATGATATCCAGCCTACAAAGGTTGTCAGCAACGAACAAGGTATGTCTTTTGTGGGTCCCTGGACACTCAGGGGTACCAGGTAACGGAATGGCTGATGGTCTGGCCAGAAAGGGGGCGAAAGGTTCAGTGATTGGCCCAGAGCCAATCTTAGGGGTCACTCGATCCTGGAGCAACTTCAAGATGAAGAAAATCCTGACGGAAAAGGTTCAGGACAGCTGGAGAAAGGCTCCTCGAATGAGGCAGTCCAAACTCCATATAGGAAACCCGTCACGAAGACAGACCAATGCCCTCTTGGCTTTGAACAGGAAGGAGCTGAAACTGGTGGTGGGCCTGCTGACAGGGCACTGCCACCTGAACAAACATCTCAGCATGATCGGGATTGTGGAGGATCCAGAATGCAGATGGTGCCTAGAGGATGAAGAGACTTCTACTCACATCCTCACTGAATGCCCGGCAATAGTGGCAGCAAGGGATATCCATTTTGGGAGCAGTATCCTGGACCCAGAGGATGTTAAAAAGATTTAGCCTAGGAAGTTGGTCTCTTTTGCTCGCGAGATCGGCCTTCTCCATGGCTGACTTGCGATCCCAGGAATGTGGGTGCACAATGGGCCCGAAAAGGGAGGCCTGAGTGCGTCAGGTCCCGGACCGCCCACACACATACATACATACATACATACATACATCCAGTATTTGATGACCTGTAGTGTATGTACTTCTGAAATTTCTATAGTAACCAATGACAATGGAGCATATAATATAAGTGATATAATCACTCAGAGATGCAGTGTCGCTGTGGGGGTAATGAACTCCTGATGAAAAATAAGATGAAACGAGATTGAGACGAAACGCAAATCTTAAATTTCCATCTCAAGAATATTCTTATGATTCTATCATTCATACATAATAATCGATGGTATCTCTATATATCTATCAAAGATATTCAGTATCTGAGACTAACCCTTTAGTATATGTGTTATTTCAAAGATAAGACTATTCACCCCTTTTACTTACAATGTAATAATTTACCTGGATGTGTCAAAACCCCCTAATGTCTACCCAGTTACCGATGTTTCAAGATTTTTTCACCAACTTTTACAGATTGTTCACCAATTTATAACGATTTTTGTCAATTTTCAATTTCGATACTACTATGGAAGTCCCATACACAAGAAGTCAAGACTACTTCTGTGATCCACCTTCGTTTATTCAAAAAACACTATTTTTAAATTTATATGATACGATTTATGAGTATGAATGAACATTATCATTATTATTGTTATATTATTATTATGGTCATAATATGATGAACACGAGCACAAATGACATGGACAAGGGTTACACTTGCTCACAACTCGGCTGCCAGCCGAATACTATATGAACCAGTCTTCACACACGTCTGTCATAGGCTCTGATCTAAGCACATTCCACAGAGCAGTAGCACATCTAGTTGCTAGATGCTAACAATTATCATTATTGAATAATGACATGTAGTGTATGTACTCCTGAAATTTCTATAGTTACCAATGAGAGTGAAACATATGATATTAGAGATGCAGTATCGCTGTAGGGGTAATGAATAATCTTCTTCCACAGCAATATTTAAGGCATATTCGGCGGTCCTATCTCCATATTTTGGTCGAAACAATCTTCCCTTAGCCTATGTTCCAATAGTTATGACTCATCCTGTATATTAGACAGAGCTATCAGTACTTGGAATTTGACATTTCAAGGGAGATATTGTGAAATAATATCACGATGAAGACATTGTGATATCAGATACGGAAATGAAATTGATGACATATACAAACAAGAGCAATTTTTTTCTCATAGCCGTAGAAAACAATGTTTTTCGACGGCTATAACGCAAAATTGCTCTTGTTTCACTGTGTTCGATACGTCAATGAGGTACTTTGTATGTCATAGATATTATTTCCGTATCTGATATCATAATGACTTCATTGTGTTTTCATTTCAAGAAAATCTCATCGCTCGATCATGGAATCTCAAATAAGAAGCAATGACAGCTTTGTCTAATAGTTGAGCATTACTTGACAGGAAATCTGATGGCTACAAGACGAAGAAATCGAAAATGCCGCTGTTATCAATTATAGCCGTAGAAAAATTATAGTGTATGGCTCATGCTGCAAACTTGATTCTCGTAGGAAATCACTATCATTCCGTGCCCGTTAAACAATCTACTATTTTCCGATCACTCGCGAGATTGGCCTCCTCCATAGTTGACTTGCGATCCTAGTAATCATTGCTGCACAATGGACCCGCAGTTGTGGCCTTTCAAAGAGTTATTGTACATACATATGTACATAATACTCTGAAGTAATGATTCAGATTCAGTTATTAAATGTAATCATCTGGTGTACTTATACTTTTCTGATGAAAAACTAATTAATACTAACGGAAATGTATAATGCAACTCTTTCTAACTGAATTATTAGTTCTCTCTGGGATCTTTCCATTTGGGAAGGCAATCCGCAAGAAGAACTTCCCAAATAACCTCATTACGAGCATCATCAACAAGCCAGAAATAATCCTCGGGAGCCGTAAAGCGTGTCCCCGTTTTCACGAAACGACATAATTAATCCCACCATCAAAAACAACGTTTGACGAACTTCAAAAATCTCAAATTGCCGTTATGGAGAGGCGAGCGCCGTCGGCAAAGTTAATTTAAAAACAATTTGGACTCCTTTTTGCTTCAGAGTGACTCTGTTAATGGCGGCGCTTTCTCCTGGGCGAGTGAAAGATTGTAGATCAATGGGCCATGTGATTCTTTCACACCTTCGATTGCTAATACTTGTTAACTATTGAGAATCAGAAATTTCATGAATGAATTAACATCCAATTCATCGATATACAGGATTTTGAGGTAGAAACTAAAATGGGTGATAGATTTCATCACTTTGATCAAGAAAGTTTATATAAACATAAGTTTGATCTCGATCATTAGCGGAGCTACTAGGGTCAAGGTTTGATTATTTTTTTCTTATAACCAAAATATCTCGCTCACTTTTGGAGACATCAATTTGAGATTTGGTGTGGTAAAAATCTTCCAAGAAGATCATCATTTCAAGCATGTTAAAAATTTTTGCTAAATATATACATAATATGAAGAGGGTATTCATTCGAAAGTCAAAAGAGTACTCTTCAAAGTTTGTCCAAGCTTTCGAAAAAAAAATTCTCATCTTCAGGGAGACTGTAGAGAGTTTATTCATGAGTATCATGCATTCAGATTTGTGAGAATTATGTACTAACATCTTTGTTGAGGATGGCTGACATGATGTTCATGTATAATTTCCTTTTGTATTTTGGTAACATAACAATGAATTAGCACAGTGCAATCGGTGAAATATCAGTTGACATTATACACACAATAACATGTTGAAAACTTCAATAAAATTTATCAATAATCATATTTTCAACCTCGCAGTAGTTCGTTAAAGGGAAATGACTCTTTCTGAAAATGAGTAGTGAATGACTTTTGACATTGTGTGTGAAGACAGGTATCATGTCAAAATCAGGAAACAGTGGTACATATACAGGGTCGCTGATTTGTATGGAAACATGTGAATATCTCGGTAACCAGTCGTTGGATTTTTTTGAATTTATGTGCAGTGTGATTTCAAAATGTGGCGGATTTGAAAGTGTTATAGCCAATGTTGCCACTTTTTCAGTTATTCCGGAATTTTATTAACTTCCTCATTTTGAATAAAACATCCTGTACTTTATTGGATTTTCAGATACTCCTTGAAGAGCTGATTCCATCGATCTATCACACTTGGGGTCTAGCGGGAATGATTACATAGGTATAGGGTGTTTAAAATCTAGATTTTTCAACTTCAGGATTTTTTTGTATCGAAACTATCCATTATCGATCAAAACTGCTCTAATATTCCTATCTTCACTTTTGATTTACTATCTACTGACATTTAAATGGAACAGATACAGAGGGTGATCAGAATTCTGAATCTTGAACCACCCTGTATTTGTTCCAATCAAATGTCAGTAAATTGTGAATCGAAAGAAAATATAGGAACATTGGAGCGGTTTCGATCGATAATGGATAGTTTCGACACAAAAAATCCTAAAGTTCAGAAATCTAGATTTTAAACACACTATACCTATGTAATCATTCCCGCTAGACCCCCAAGTGTGATAGATCGATGGAATCAGCTCTTCAAGGAGAATCTGAAAATTCAATAAAGTTCTGGGTGTTTCATTCAAAATGAAGAAGTTAATAAAAATCCGGAATAACTGAAAAAGTGGCAACATTGGCTATAACATTTCCAAATCTGCCACGTTTTGAAATCACACTGTACATAAATTCAAAAAAATCCAACAACATGTTACTAAGATATTCACCTGTTTCCATACATATCAGCGACCCTGTATACACATCTGTACTAACCTTTCTATATAACTTATTATGTTTGTGTGTTATCTGATGACAATGAAAAGGAATAAATCTCAGTCAAGTGATTCTTGTCTGTAAGATACGTGAAGTAGTTTTATGATATTTTGGTAGATGGTTTTACCACCATTTTAATACAAAGAAATCAATTTTGATATGTGAAGTAGTTTGATGATTTTATGGTAGATGACTTTGCCATCATTTAAGAACAAAAAAATCATTTTAAATGAATTTTGCTCCTGAATGAGAGACGATACATCAACTTTGCTTCAAATATAACAGAAATTTGAAGCTGGGATTATAATTTTCTGAAGAAAATATTTTTTTCTGTTTCTTTTTTGCATATCGCTACTTCAAAGTGGAGAACCTCCTCAGAAGTCGAAACTTGTGCAAGGTTGGGAAGAGTGGGACCTACAGCTTTTAGTGGAACCACACTTCTAGGGCATCAAGGTGACGCCAGGATTACAACCATAAATCACACATTTTGAATAAAAATACTCAGCCGATTGCCGGATTCGAACCGACAGAACCTTCGCATGCTAATGAGTTTTGTCGGTGCTACTTTTTTTTAATATCTATCATAGATATTTCGTAGAAACTGGAAAAATATCAGAAACTGAAAATTGTTATTGAACCTTCGAATTCGAGGCATATATGTAAGATTGGAATAAAATTTGAAAATAAAAAATTAACTTCTGACATGTAGCGGAAGTCCCGTGACCCCGACCGAGTAGTGTAACCAAACCTACCTGGGTCTTTTCTAAATATGGAACTTTATAACCATATTTTAACGACCATGTGGTGTGAAATCTTCTCCTTCTCTTTTTTAATTTTATATCTTGAGGGCGTCTATCGTAGACGTCTATAATACAATAGAACAAAACACCCTTATGTGAAACTTGTTGAATTATCATTCATCCAGGAACATTCATGGAACATTCAAATTGAGCAAGCTCTCTACTGTGATTTAGAGCATAACATAAACTAAGAACTTCACTCTAATTTTGGCTACTGCTACTGGGCTGGACCAAGCTTTCTGATGTTGTAACAAAGCACAACACTGCAGAATCCAGTATCCAACAAGGTCTTACCATACCTGGGATACAATCCAAAGTTGGAGTGATAGAATTCATGATCTTGTGATGATTTGTTACTTATTCCTCTGATGAAAAAAAAACTCATAGAAATTGAACCCTCATTAATGTAGTCGTGAACTGAAACACTAACTATGATCCTCAAATAAGAAAATGACTTCTAAAATGAATCAATACTCCTGATCATGATGAAAAACTCTACCAAGCGAACTGGCTTGGGTCGTTACAGTAGTCAATTTTCCATATTTTCTTGAGCAACGAATTTCGTAATATATTTTATCAAAAAGACACTGTGTATACATATAATTATGATAGCCCATATTTCTTCAACACAATTGAGTTATCGAACATGTAGAAAGCTTCACTTTCCTGACTGACATTTTCCGCAATATTCTCTCGTGTTTTCCCCAACCCGGAATATCAAATCTCGGCGCAAACAACCTCGTCGAATTTTCTGAGCCGAAATGCTCCTCGGTCCATCTTATTAGTACACTCCAGCGTCGTGATTAGGGAATATTGGTTTTCCTAAGAGTCTAAGGGCTACCTTCAGGGACTCACACTATGGCAGACGAGGTCTCGCCGTGGTAATTTCATCTCAGACTCGTCCTTATAACTCGGGGTGGGGTGAGTATTTTCTACTTATTCTCGTTTCGAATGGCAGATTGTCTGTTATGGAAAATGGTTGGAGTTGAGAGAGAAATTTCACGATCATGTTTATGGAAGCTCCACTTGGATTAACCTCATTGGGCTCAATTAAATATCGACTATGGAACGGATCATATGATCTTAGGGATTGAAGTTGAAAATGGGCATACTCCATAATCATGGAGTCGAAGCTAAATTATTGAACAAAGGTTGATCAATAAGATATGTAAGCAATGACCTGAGTAATAATTCTCATCCTCTTGCGTTAGGAATCTAGCAATATGTCACAAAAAAACAACAGCAACTGAAATATAGTTATCCTGAAGAAAATATGAGTTTGAAAATGTTGGGAACATCAATGTCGTTCATTTTATATAGTGCTATAACTTGAAAAGCTTTCCGCTCTTGTTTGCTCAATCTGCTGAAGTTGATTTTCTTTTCTGAGGTTATATCTCTATTAATTGCATTATTCGAACATAGAAAGTATGGAAGGAATCAACTCTAGAAGGTTGACCATACAACAACAGACAGGCCCGTAGAATCAAATAGGAAATTAGAATTGAGAGTTCAGACACTATTTATAATTTGTGAAAATCCAGCACTTGCTAAGAGGTTAATATTTTTCTGACATCACTGTAACTATGAAAGTGTCGATCATGCTCACAGAAGTAAGTAGGTCAATTTGTTCAATTGACATAGTGGATGATAGTCATCAGCGTCAATTTTTGTTCCATTAGATCTCGTTTCAGTTTATTTAGGAGCAGTCCGAATTGACGAGACTGTAGATACAACACACCACGCATTGAGTAATAAATAGGGTGTTTGGTTCACCGACGTAAATACGGGAGGAGGTGGCTGGTTATGTGATTTTGAACGAATTCAACCATATTATACAAAGTGTCACATTTTTTGGAGAATCATCGCATATGGATTTGGAATTGAATGTTACAAAAATTGTTTTTCAAATACTAACGAGCCCAAAAATTTTGTCACCACAGTAGATCCCATTTCGTGTTCGATATCGATGATATACGTTTTCAAATTTCTGAGAATACAATAAGATAGAATGCTTGAAAAAACGGTGTTTTCTCGAAATTCGAAACACTTTGTATAATAGTATGGTGGAATATCTACAGAATGTTCTCACCACATTTCTGATATAAGTGTTGGTGAACCAAACACCCAGTATAATGAGGAGTTAGAGATAAATTCACAATGATGAAAGACATAGGTATGTGAACTTTCTGTTTATTCATTTATGTATTTATTTGATATTAATACATCCAGCAGGCTTACGCCCATTTACAGGTGTATGTTAAAATACATGGTTATTAGTTGGATCGCTAAAAATATATACCTACATCTATACATAACTCGAAAATAATATGAACTAAGATATGTGAAACTAGTTCCTCAAGGCATCAAATAGTCTTTGCTTGAATTGAGACAGCGAGAGAAAAAATATATCAATACTTTGTAAATTTTTGTAACTTCGGCACATTGTTGAAAGGGGACAATCGAAGTGATGTTGTGTGATGGGCACAGCAATGCGGAACGTTATATCTGATCTTGACACATCTCGTGGTACATTGAAATCAATCAGAGGAAGTAATGAGGATGAATCGATATGATTATGGATTATTTTATGCATAAAAGTTGAATCGCGATGTTTTTTAAGAGAGAATAAATCGAATTCGTTCAGCAATGCAGTCTTCGAGGATACACGCCATATTTTTTATAGTATGCATATTTTAAAAACTTCCTTTGCACTGATTCAATGGCTTCGATATATTTAGAATGACATGCATTCCATCTGTTGCTGATTGCTGAGCATGTTTCTGATGGTTTCGTTAAGTTTCTCGATATTTCTCAGTGTTGAGGTTTCATGTGAGTTGCTTGTTCCCTAGCAAAGATTTTCACAAATGAGCAGATATTTGAAACCAAATTCCGAAATTCTTAAAAAATTATATTGGTTCGAAGTCATTGAACGGTCACCTCTGTGTTTATTATTTCCAAGATTATTAAACCACGAACTTTCGATCAGTAGTTGAACATAAACACAGGCATGGGATTGACTTCAACGTTCCAGGAATATCCACCAACCTGACTTCCTCGCTGTCATGTTTCCAAAAACATAGATTGAACATATGAAAGGCGAGAGAAAGCCAGGACAGGCATCATTCAATCATTCAATTATTCGGTCAATTCGAAAATTTGATTCGATCATAGATCATTCATTGATTCGATCATTCACCACTGTGCTCGAACCGTCGCAGTTCGGGACAGAACAAAAGATGCCCTTCCTCTGAGGTCCCAGGAGTATTGGCTTCATAATAAGTGAATATAGGGTGAGTTAAAATTTTATTAATTGTTATTCAATGAATAACAAGAAGAGACAAGAATCAGTGTGTGTATACGTTTGGCTAAAACCCTTTGGAGTATTCTTTATTATAATTATACTTTTCGAGTTTATTCTCTATTGGATCTAGAACACAACTTAGGCAACCCCACCAACAGTTTGAGGACTTTTATATCTCTTGAAGCGCACGAAAAAAAAAATCCTATATCGCTCGGAGTACATGGTGCTGCATGGTTCTTTTGATCAACAGCTTCAGATATGATGAGCGACATTTTTGTTTCATCAAAGTTGAAACTTGTTGCTAACTTATTATTTTCCTTAGACAAACCGTTCGGTTGGATCAGTAGACTTGGTCCTAGGTTTTTCAAAATACTGGTAGTATATTTCTCCAAAATCTATTACTCTGGACGAGTTCTACTCCGAAAGATTCTAAATGAATTTAGATTTCACTTGTTAACATCATCCCACTCTATATAAATTTTTATATGATAACAATAAAAATGTTGGTTATGGATCAGAATTACATTCCCTTTATCATACGATGTCTGTTTCCTTTTTTATAATAATTATATTTTGATTTTTAAACGATCGACTGTTGGATTGATGGTATTTGTTGTAAATTTTGGGACTATACTACTTGTATACTGTAAATTGTGACTATTTTCATTGTATTTACGATGGTTGTATGTAATTTTTTTTTTATATTTTATATTTCATAATTTTTATTTAAACAAATTGAACTATTTTTGAGCTCTGCTTTGTCAATACGAATTTTTATTCTTCCGATAATGAAGCGTATTTTGATTGATTGATTTATTGTACGTATGTACGATCAACGTTAAACTTTCTAATCTACAATAGTTTCGAAGACTTTTTCCAAATCTATTCTTTTTGAGTAAATTTTTGATGCTAGGAGAAAATATTTGAAACATGTGTATTCGGCTCACCTTCTGGTACTGCACTGGAAGTCATCAGGAAATTAACACACGCTGCACCAGTGCCGTGGCCTAGTAGGGTCACGTTAGTTGGGTCACCACCAAAAAACGCGATATTCTCTTGTATCCAGTGCATCGCAGCAATCTGGTCCATGAGGCCGTAGTTGGCAGGACTGCGTGAGTATGGGTCGGTGTTGGCATTCAAGAAACCTGCAAGAAAATGACGACCTATTTATATTCTACAGCGCAAAAGGAGATTACTTGCAATGAATCCCAAAATTCAGTAGTTCCAACAAAAAAGTTATGTTGCTATATATAAATATACAGGGTGGGACATTAGTGCGTCGGAGCTCGATTGCTCGAGTTCTATGATAGCGAGAAATTCGATTGAAAAAGAATGTGAATGAGACAACAAGGTCCATAACTATCATTGCCGCATATCTAGAGGGTTAGGATCACTTTTATTCAATGGAATGCCCTATATATCAGCAGATTTTTTGAAGCATTTCTGTGACATCCGTCTACTCCTTGAATATGGTCGACTATTTCCTGATCATTACAAAGTAATTAATTTTTTTGTCGAAATAATGTCAGCTGCAGATGCATACCGAAAAAATCACTGTAGTCACAATTGTAAAATTCAATTATTTACAAAAATATACTGTTTCTTTCCACCCATTTCACTTTAAGAAATTGGTAATTTGAAGTCGTGTCAAAACCCAGTTCCGAAAAGTGTCTATTGAATGTCGAAATTAAAGAAATACAACAAACAACCCGTATTATATCATCGGCTCCATTGCATTGGTCTTTTTGAACCGACATGATGATTTAGATAATGTACACGATTCATACAAAGGTAAAATAGTCAATATCATCTGATTATCATTCTGAAATCTCAGTAATTTGGATGAAAGAGAAGAGATAAAAAACAAAACAAGTATAATAAAACGATTTCATTGAATTGGTTTTATTGAATTGTCTGGTTACTTCATTATTGAGATAATAAATACTTGATACATACAAAGTTATACAAACCTCACAAATTCCACCTTGATATTTATCTAAGGCTATCTTCTTCCACAAGAAGGACGTCTTCTCTGTACTCTATCAAATCTCTCTGATTCGATTTCGAACACACCAATAAAACCATTCGTTCATCCCCGTCAGACTTTGAATCCATCCACGTCAGTTAGTCTCGTCTTTAATGAGGATCAATCAAGTAGAAGATATTCGGATAGCTCGAGAATTTTCCTCATGGCTGAATTCAATATGACCGGAATAATTCAGTTATCATATTATTGACGATGGAATTGGGCATTTCGTAACATAATGATCGCTGAGAGAGATCAATACGGTGAACATAAAATTGTCATTAGAGTAAGAGACGAATTGGTCTCTCATAATATATTCATCATAGGTATTTCCCCTTCATGCGTTCCATACAATAAAAAATGTCATTGGTTTAGTTTAGTCATTGATGCTATAATTTTACGGGAAGGTTCAAAATTGTGTTCACTTGAATTTGACCATATTTTGCTATGATTTTGATATTATTCCATTCTGCCATATGTTCTCCATTTGCAGTAAGGATGCATATGTTCAGCTAATTCGATATGTCTTACCTTGATATAGTACTCATGTTTCTTCATCATTTCTGAGAAAGATCTCTCTGTTTCATCTATGACAGAATGAAATGATATTCAAATCATATGAGAGGAAGATAACAATCAAAAGAGAAAAATCAAGGAATCCGCTTGCATTCTTCTGAATGGAGACAATATCATTGCTTTCTGTTCAGTTGATATAGATAGAACTAGAGTGTGGACACACTTGTCATATTGCTAAACAGCTACACGAAATAACATGAGACACAAATATGTGTTTCATTACAGATGGAATTTCATTTGTCTGTACCTCTGTGCAAACATATTTTTATGCACAGGGATTTGAAGGGTACCCGATATATTCCGTATCTTAGGGAAAAAAAGGGGATTTAAAGTATACCTCTTTGCATTATTGAAAGCTGAATTTGGAAAATTTGTTTTCGAAATATCTTTTGCAATTGTGGCTTTTATATCATCGAATATATGCTTCACAATGATGATGCTTAAGCTTTTTTGACTTCTCCAAGAGATATGCTTGCAGTACTTTTTCTTTCATACATTCTCCTATGTTCTGTTCTTTGCACCATTTGATAAACTCAGATATCCGTTTTTTATATTGTTCTCCAGATTTTCTGGATAATAATTGGCCTTCAGCTTCTTGAGCTGCCTTTTCTATTTGTTCCATTGCGATCAACGTCTTTCAATCGGTGTGGCGTGTTTGACTAATATTCATTTATTTATGTTTTACCTAGTACCTTGTCATACCACTGCAAGATTTTCAGTTGCCGATAACAATCATGGTAGTGTTCTTGAATCCCTCGACAAATTATAGCCCTTTGTTGGTAGTGCTATAAACTTTTTGTATATGGATTTAAAATACCACTTCATTCTCTAGGTGAATAATGTACTATTATTTGAAACCCTAACATTGGCGTATCACCAAAGGCACATAATGCTCTTCGTGTAGGTATATCAATAGTATGTCAATGAATGTGTTTCCATGAAATTAATATTGGAATTTGAAGCTTCAACGAACACTTGCAATGTCTTTGGGTAACTCGAATAAATTTTTGCAATTCGTTCCCGGACAGAATATAATCGAAAGAATTTTTGCATGTTTGAAGAGAAGAAATATCGAATCTACACTCATCTTGGGATGTTTAGAGAACAACCCTACTCCCGTTCTCAACATGAAAAATATTTTGCATTTTCATGTTGAGAACGGGAACAGATTAATTCCGGAAACGTCCAAAGATATGTCAAAATTCGATATTTTCTCAATATATCTATATTCATCTTCTTCTTCTCTTCAAACATTTTTCTAAACGAAGAGTCACTGACAAGATATTGCTTTCTCTTTTAGGCTCCCTGATAGAAAAATTTGTTAAACGCAGTGACATGTTGGGACAAATCATCTGATTCGTATTTCCACACATATATCGAAATAATACCCGTATTTTCATTTCATAGAAACAAGGTGAAAAAATCCCAAATAATCGAGTAATCAAGTAAAATGTATGTACCCCGTCCTAGATTAACCTATAGACAGTATGGAAGGTCCAAATCCAAGTGAATATTCGGTATTTTTTCAATATATCTATATTTCCTTCCTCCCTTCCTCAAACATAATATTTCAAAACAAAGTATCACTGACAAAAGTGACGAAGGATTCGATTTCTCGTTTAGACTCTCTGATAGAAAAATTCTTCTGAACGCAAAGACATTTCGAGCCAAATCATCTGATTTGTCCTACTACAGGTATATAGACGAAGAGAGAAACTCCCAGAAGACATTCAATATTTCACCTCCCACCTAATAGTAGGATTTAAAGCGCTTTGACATTCGAGAACAAATTATATACCTAAATTGATTATCATTCAATCAGCATTTGAATATCACTCAAATTTCATGGTCTCAATTCAGTTATTGTTGAGTATCTCTTATGCCTTGGACGAAATCGTTTTGTAAATGGTCACATCATAAAACGACTAAATTGGATATTTTGTAATATAATGATCGTAGATAGAGATCGATATGGTGAACATAAAATCGCCATTGAACTTAGTGACGTGATAATCTATCATAATATTGAGATACTGGATTCGCTCAGTTTATAGGGAGTTTTAATGGATACTTTGAGAGATCGCCGATTTGGGAGCACGTATAAAGGATGAAATATTACTTTCGGATGGAAAACCAGTATATACCCTTCCGGTGAAACTCCTAAAATTATTATTCTCATTTGTCATACTTGATAATGTTCGACATCAACTCTCGATGGGCTCATGAACAGGAAAAATGTACTTACTATGATAAAAATTCTGTTTGATATAGGTATACAATTAGATGAAAACTTCATTAGGAATAACAAGATATATTTCATCAAGAAACATTCCCTGATTTTTTTAATCGCAAGGTACGCACGAAAGGAAATCCCTATACATTGTTTGACGAACATCGTATGTGTACATAGGGAGGATAGGGAGAGGAAGTAGATGTTAGCATTTTTCTTTAACTGTTTCTTTTTTATGTTCTGGTTCCCACGAAAAGGGATATCCTGTAATGTTCAGAGAACATCGTGAGAACCAAGGGAAATATGGTAGGAATTGGTGTTCTTCTTCAATTTCTGGAGGTAATATGCCTCAGGGAACACTTCTCTTGGCAACGTGTTCCAGAGCCTCACTGTTTGTTGGATAAACGAGTCTTTGGAAAGAGATGTTCTGCAGGTCTCCAAAGTGACCACGAAGGGGTGCCAAGCCTCAACTCGACGGGTTCAACTCGCAGGGACTGCCAATGGAGGAACAATTGTTGATATTTCAGTAGAGCATCGTCCATGAAGATATCTATAAAATAGGGCCAGATCGCCAACTTGTCTACGGTGTTCCATAGAAGTGAGTGAGTTTGTGAGCGAGGCATCACCCACGAGACGAATTGCCCTTTTTTGGACATCATCCAACTGTTTCAGGGTATGTTTGGGTGCTGTACTCCAAATATGGGAACAGTATTCCAGGACAGGTCGGATCTGTGCCTTATAGATCATAAATACTTCCTCAAGCAATGAGTTCTAGAGATTTCCCGTTCTATAGAGAAACGAGTTTTGACATATTTCAAGATTGACAACGGAAGGATGTGCTGACTGCCCTTGTCGAGGGAAAACTAGTGAAAATAGCAGCCAAGTGACACTGGACGAATTCGATGAAGAAGATAACCACTCGCCGCTTGATGATTCTTTATCGATTGCAGAAGGAGAATCCGACGAGTTTCCCGTTGAAGATATGGTAATCAACGAGCCAGGTCCGTCTGGCCTCTGCCGAAAATAATGTTTCCATAATTGGATTAGACTTATAAGAAAAACAAGTATAGCATTTTGAATGGGAGGTAATTGATCATCAATTATTAACATAGATTAATTGAATTAAGGATGTTTCGTGATGAATATCCATGAAGTTCTTAAATATTAGATTTGGGAAGCCCTAAATGACATATTATTCCCGAAATTCGCAGAATTTTCAATTTGGCGTAAGCATTTGTGCCTCAACGGTTTACTTTAGCGAAAATATACAAGGAACATATTTTAATTGATAATTTCTTCTAGTCATCAAGGTATAAATATAACGAAGAACCAATTGAATCGCTCATTTTATCATTGAAAATACATTTATACGCATATATGGGGATAGTTAAGGCCAGTTTATAGAGATTAACAAAATAGGATGTCATTCATTATTCCAAATTTTTTTGGATTTTCTCTCCTCGTTTCTATAGAATAAAAATATGAATATTATTTCAATATACGTGTAGTAAGGACAAATCAGATGATTTGCCCCAAAATGTCACTGCGTTTAAAGAATTTTCCTATCAGAGAGCCTAAAAGAAAAATTCACTAGCTTGTCAGTGACAATTTGTACTGAAAAATTTTTGGAGAAGAGAAATAAAGGTATATAGAAAAAATATCAAATTTTCACTTATCTTTGGACGTTTCGGGACCGATTCTGCTCCCGTTTTCAACATGTCATTCAATCAGCTCTTGAACCTAAACGGCTCACTTTAGCAAAAATATACTAGAGAAATTTCTTGTAGGAATCTTTTTCTCCTTCGATTTCTGTTCTAACATTTTGAAAAAGAAAACGCACAGTTTTGAAGATATTTGCAAAAACCGTTTTTGGGTGCCATCTTGGCAAGATGGCGACTCCGGCGGCATGTCTTGGAATGTGCATCTTGTTAATTTGAGTTCTAGATCCCCAAACCCATGAACCTACAAAGTTTCAAAACTTCCGGACTCATTTCCAGGTGAAAATTTTCAATGACTGGCCTGATATCCCTATTAAGCCTCTTTGCCTCCTCTAGTATACTGTGGTGGTACTACAACTTGTTATACTGTGCTATAACATTGATGATGCATACTCACATCCTCAAATATTGTCTTTAAATTTTTTAACACCCTTTTAAAAGCTTCACCTGTATGTGTACTCAATTCTGTCCCACTTCAAACAGACCAATTGATCCGACTTTTGGCAGCTGTGCAAAGTTTTGATGGCAATGCATTATGACATTTTCGTCAGAGGAAATAACAAAATGGCAGCTTCAAAATGGCGGACGTGTTTTGTAATCAAGATCCGATTCCATGGAAAATTGGTATCTTTGGATTGGGCCTTTGAAGTCAAAGATTATGATTTTTTCGTCAAAATTTGTGAATTCCAGATGGCGGATCCAATATGGCGGACGAGTTTTGTGATTATGATCCAAATCTATTTAGAATTTGTATAACCGGGTTTTTGGTGTCAGAGATTATGCTTTCATTGTCAAAATTTTGGAATAAAAGATGACCCATCCAATATGGCGGATGAATTTTGAATTAATAATCCGATTCCTTTCAAACTCTGTATCCGAGGGTTTTCGAGGTCGCAGATTATGATTCTCTCGTCAAAATTGGTGAATTAGAGATGGCGGATCCAATATGGCGGACGAGTTTCTGTAATTTAAATCTGAATCTGTTGAATATTTGTATCTGTCGGTTTTCGAGATTGGAGATTATGATTCTTCCGTCATAATTTGATAATCCAAGATGGCGGATTCGATATAAGAGACGAGTAAGTATTATCTGATTCTATTCATAATTTGCGTTTGGGGGTTTTCGGGGTTGGAGATTATGATTCTTTCGTCAAAATTGCAAAATTCTAGATGAAGGATTCAATATGGTGGACGGGTTTTGTTATCAAGATGCGATTCTTTCGTCAAAATTGGGTACCTACAAAAAAATATAAGAGCACTGAGATAGACGCCGAACTAAAAAATTGAAAGAAATTGTAGTTGAAAAAACTGAAGGAACGCCCTTTAATATATAACCAAACTAACAAGAAGTAGATATTGAAATTGTACAAGTGTGTCGTTGATAAATACAGAACATAGAAATAAGTAATATTTTTCATTCTATTCATTTATTATTTCATTTTCCACTTCTTTTTGATTTGGCTATCTATAAAAGGGTGTTTCTCTAGTTTGTTGACAACTATTTTTTGTTTTTAGGTCAAAACTATCGGCATATCTGATTTCCAGTTTCCATTGCATTCAATCATGCTGACGGTCATTTTCCGCGCAGTTTTCCTGAAAAATTACCGGACTAATAATGTTTTTCTTCGATTCCCAGAGTCAAGGCGCATTCTTTATCAAAATATTCCGCTGTGGATCCGCATTTCAACGACATTTCCATCTTGCTATCTGAAATAACACAGTATGTCATGAATCTTTCCTGTCCTGCTTTCGACCCTTTTTCGTGCATTTTCTGGTATGCTGAACTTATTGTCTGTTTGTTCTAGGCCCCTCTACCCAAATATGAGCTGGACCTTTTCCGAACGGCTTGCAGAAACGCCCATTACGAAGCATTTAATTACGAGGTTTTTTTCAAGGCACTGTATAAATCCTTTTTCGTGGCTCGCAATTTCTGGTAGGTTATTTTAAGCAATTCCGACGGAAGCGAAATTGATTACATGAGAGAGAATGGTACGGATTAATTCTTGCGAATGTAATCTGAATGGTGACTTGATTCAATTTCGGGACCAACGCTATTATTTCTACGTTATTTTATTTCCCAAAGAACAACTTCTTCTGAGAAAAGATCAGGAGTACCTGATAAGTTGCAGCTTCTGGTTCTGTGATTTTCATACTGAATAATATGATTCGACATAATATTATTTCGACAGAACCGTGAGTAACAGGAAATATACAACTTCATGATGTAATTCATTATGTGGAGAAATGACGAAATGCCCTTCATAGGGGAGTGAAACAATTTTACCGTACTTTAAATGGATGATAATTCAACATACCAATGTTTGATCAAAATGGTATTTTATCAGAATCGTATCTTGAAGCAAAAGTACTCAACAAAACCGTATTGTATCGGAGAGACAGTTCATCAACAACAATATGAGAGTATGATTCATCATACGTTGAATTACAGTCTGTGAAATTACAGGTAGATTCTCCTCAATTTTCAAGAGCATCATTCATACTACTTTCAAGGGCATTGATAATTGTATCTTAGGTTGATTTACCTCGTCGGCAATTTTGACCTCATGAGGAGAATTCTTTTCCAAGAAATCAACTCGTTTTATGTTCGAGTATATCATTGATGAAATAGAAACTAACCTCGAGTTGAATGTTTCATAATATTTATTAACTTCAATAACCACTTGATAAATTAATTAGTGAAGTCTCTATCAGCTCCTTGTCCTGAGATTTATTCTCATTTGATACAATAATTCTCAAATCACCTACAGCATAACCAGTCATGTGAACTTTGAGTTTTCAATGTATCAAATCTTTTACTCGAGTGAATTCATAGTACCAATGTCAGAAAGTGAGTAATTAGAGATGTGGACACCCAAATCGACAGAATGTAAAATCGCAGAACCGTAAACCATCAGAATATACATTTTCGAACCAGTAAATCAACAGAAGAATAATTTAAAGGATTTGTATTTATTTTTACTTCAGATGCACAGAACCGTAATCCCTCAAACCGTATTTTGTATACTGCACATGAGCATACTAGACAATAACAGAATGCAAATGCGCAGATGTGTATTTTTCTATAAATATAATATCGCAGATCCGCAAATATACAGAATCGAACAAACCAATGTTACAGCAGAATTATATCTCGTCAGAACCATAACAACACAGACCGTAATTCGTCAGAACCCCTCTCATGGAATGAGCCAAAAAATACATGGGGGGTGGTTCCTGATGGAATGTTACAAAAGGATGATTTGGTATCGGAATTCTAGAGATTTTGGAGAGATGAGAAACTGAAGTATGCAACGGCTCATAGTATAGTTGTTGTTCGTATATTTATAATATTCGATGTTTCGGAATTGATGAACACCGTTCAAGAAAGAGTTTGAACAATAATCAATAGAATAGGATAGAATATGTATACATTTGTATAAAGAAATGAAGGAGAAAGGAGGTTATCACCGAGACAGTAAACAGATTATTGAGAAGTCTTTGTCGGAAGAAGAAGAATATAGATGGAAAAGTCAGAAAATAGAAAATTCCTGAACCCCGAAGAAAAGTTTGAAGGAGTATTTCCAGAGTGTTGGCAGTGTTTATACCAGCGGTACCAGATTACGTCAGATTGATGATATACCGGCACAGCGAGTGCTGGTTTTCACAGAGAATAGCAGAAAGCAGCAGGAAGTATAATATACAAGGTTTATAGAGGGTGTCAATGCGAGAACTTTCAATGAGAATATCTCGCAAAATAACAATGTTTGGAAACGCCAAAGAGTTAGCGAAAAGTAAAACCCCCATACTGGGAGTCACCCCTTAGGCGCAACACACCCCAACTTCAAAATGTCAGATGGAACTATACCTCTTTTGTAATAAGTCAAAGGATAGGTCTCATTTAGTAGTATTATTCAATTGTACGAAAATAATTTTTCGTCCAACACAGGGTGGCACGAAAATATTTTCAGGTAAATAAATCGATATAGTGTCAACATTATATTTTACTTGATCAGATTCACATTGTATTCCATTCAGTTCTAAACAATGCTACAATCGATTCTCAAATTCACACGGAGTCGCGTGTTTGATGGGAAAAAATGTCTTGTACAGGTTTGAAACAACTTAATGATACCTCTCATTGGGGGTAAAACAAAGAGGTAGTATCATTTGACATTTTAAAGTTGGGGTTTGTTGCTCCTAAGGAGTGACTCGTTCCTTCGTCCTAGTTTCCCCTATCTCTTCAACCTTTCTACCAAATGGCGTTTTTGTAACTTTCCCATTTCGCGAGATATTCGCATTGAAAGTTTTGAAATTCACACCGATAGTTCCCGAACCCATAATTATACATTTTTTTCAATCCTCTTGGGACAAACGAAAGAAAATTCCTATGATGTACAAGAACATGGTGCGAACCTATCGGGATGTTATTGTTATTTATAAATATTGTTAAAATAATTATATTCGGAGGAGTTTGTTTCGATCTCAGAATAGGGTTGTAGACACTAGTCAAATTTACGCCACCAACATATTTTATATTGATCATTCCGTGTATAAATTGTATTCGATGCAATCATTGAATAATTAGAATCATCGCAAATATATTTTTTTCAATAATGAAATCATTCGGCCCCACCGAAAAACACTATCAACACTATATTCGATGACGTCGTGAACCGAAACGAAAGTCATCGTTATCTGAATTCTGGCTTTCGTATAAAAAGTATAGGACGCAGCCAGATTCGTAACTAGTAATCACCTAATGAAATTTAATATAATCAATGACAACAGTATTCACATTTATACAGAAGACAATAGTTCAACCTGGTCCCTAATAATCAATTATTGAATACTCATATACTCGCAAGATGCTTTGGTGCCAATAAAAGTATCTTAGTATTCCTGATAATGATCAAGATTTCATGTTTACCCAATTCATTGTGTAGCCCTGAAAACAGCGTTCCCCAGTTCCCATGAATACGGGAAAAGATGGAGAAAACGAACTAACTTCCTAACGTCAATATCATCTGTCACCTTCATCTTCAAATCCTGATTTCATCTAGTCAATATACGCATATTCAAAAATTTTCCTCTTATATTCTGACTCTTCAGTTGTGTGTAATGTTCTGTGTTATCGATCTGCAGTAAGTATTAAGTCCTGAAAATTCACTCGAATCATAGCAGAGGATCTCCCGAGGAGGCGAATTTTCTACATATTTTGATTGGAATGACAATCAAACATATTCTTGCACTTGCCTTACAGAAATAGAGAATAGATCGAAAAACGTCACGTCTTTTCCCGCGTTTTTCATGTTACGAAATAACGTGAGTTTCAATAATTATCCCTAAAATGTATAGAGCTCTGAGGAAAAAACGGTTGGCGACAGGGAACTACTTAGAGTTAGTATTTCGAAATAATGAATTAACATTTTTCACTGAAATAGGCCAATTGTGACGTGTGCAACTGTGAAAAAAAAACAGATATTGTCTGCCCTATAAGAGCTCTGGAAATTCAAAACAATCCAGGTTCTAGCTCGTACAAATACGAGTAGGTACAAAACTCCATTGAATAAACAGGTGGGCTTTAACATCGTTTTGTAAGCACTCAAAATTCCACAATAACTGTTGTCGATATCGAAAAGTCATTACACACCACTTGAATCCGAACTGTCTCATTACGCCCTTCAATTCAGCCTTGATTATCCCATCTGGTAATTAGAGCAACAGGTTCATGCAGCCCTTTTGCATTGCCGTTCTGTCGCTGTGATATGTAAATCGTAGATTTATAATACACAGCCATTTCATGGCAGTGTCAGGCCTCATAACATGGTCAGCAATCAAAGGATGTTTCATTCGGACATTCGTGGGCATTTGGGAATGGGTACATGTCTGCCTCGGAATTATAGGGAAACGAAGAATCATTCGAAACGGAATTTGCAAAGGTAACTCTGTTTGAAGTTACTGGACTAGCTCATTATTTTTTCATTCCTTGAAGCGCACGTGAGGGAATCCCTTTAACGAACTTAAGAAATTAATTAAAGAATCTAGACCACAACCGAAAGATGAATATACCCACCAAAGATGAAAAAATAAATGACACATAAATGTTATATCACATTATGACTTTGTGATGTTATTCAGAGAGATGCTCGATGTCACAGAAACGTTGCTGCAATTGTACTTTGTGCCCTTTTCAAATATCACAATGTGATGTTGATGGTGAATATTAAATAAAAATATATCAGGAATGATATAAAATCAATGTTACTTCATAATGTTCATCAGTATGTCATATTCCAGAAAGGAATTTGTGATTCCATATGACTATTTCATTAATAGTAGTTTATTGAAACGAGATGAGGAAGCTAAAGACTTGGGTATTGTATATGACTCGAGATTCACATTCAACAATCATATCAACACTGTAATTTCTGCAGCCTCGAAGATGTTAGGTTTCATTTACCGCAATTGTAGAGATTTCAAAAATATATTTGCACTTAAATTTCTTCTTTGCTCGTATATATATATGGTATACTAATAAAGTATCCAATAACACAATATCATTCTAACCGAATTGAAAGTATTCAAAGAAAATTTTTGAAATAATTGTGGATGAAGGTGTATGGAACTTAACCGTCTAGAGGAATCGATAACCAAATTCTTTTGGAAAATTTCGGAATGATCTCTCTAGAAAGACGTCGAATAATTTTGAGTGTGACATTTCTTTACAAATGGGCTTATATCGAAAAACACATTATATTTTATAATTCTATAGAACTCACCCAAACTAGCTCACCACCGCAAACCGTTTCTTGCTGTGAGCTACCTACGTTTTATAAAAAATTATTGAAATCCCCGATTTTTCGGACCTTCAAAAAAGAGGCGATGATGTGACGTCAAAACCCTAATACTGAAACAAGACTATTTCAGACAGAGATGAATGATACAGTTGAAATAATTAATATATCAGTAGCCCCAGTCTCCGTCGGGCGTTTGGTATTTTCTTTCAGCTATGGCGAGATGAGGTTTCCACGTCATGAGAGGGTCCGTTTTCAGAAGGTACTATTCTTTATGTCCAGAAATAAAACATTCCAGTTAATCTTTCGATCGAATTATGTCATCAATCATCATTATAAGAGGATCATTCTGAACATGGTTTGAGTTAAAAGTTCTACTAAGGTGTACACGCCCATTAATGCATAACCAAATCGATTACTCCGTAATTCTGAAACAAATAAACTTTCTCATTCCAAGATTGAACAGTAGACAAATGTTGCTACTAGAACAAGAATTATGCTAAAATCCCCAATTCATATTATGTGTGATGATTTTAACAAAATTTCTCATATATGTGATATAAATCATGACTCATTGAGAGATGTGATTAATAAATTATTGTAAGATTATATACACTAGTTATAGTTATACATATTGTTTTGGTCATTCTTCTGTTATGGTTAGAATCCTGCATTTCTTAGATATAATCCTCGTCTTTGTCTCATGTTATTCATATTATTCTGTAAAAGTGTAATTAATAATTGGAAGCTGATATTTATTTATAGCATTTCCTGTTATTGGGTGTGAAACCTGTTGGGAATAAAAGCCTTTTATTTTAATTAATTCCTATTTTTTTTATAACGTATATTCACCGCTAGGAGTTTTTATGTTATGTCTATTTTTTCTGGAATCATCAAGAGAATCTTCTGAATGATCTTCAGAAAAGACAGAGAAGATAATATATCATATATCCCAGAATATAATTATGTTAATAAATTGGTCTTGCT